ATATTTGTGAGGTGTAATCTTATGCAAATCTAGTTACATACAAGTTCCATTCACTTCAGTGGAACTAACTCCAATATTTGGGATATTGGGTTGCAGGGATGGGTGAAATTTTATTTCAATTTTGAATAAAAGTTATCAAATATGTACCAAATCAAAATCTGAATGTAATTTATGGGTGGGAGTCTTCATTCTTGCAATTTTGTCAGCTTAAAATATTTGGGAGGAAAAACTAGCTTCTCTCTTTTTTTCTTCTCTCTCTCTCTCTCTCTCTCTCTCTCTCTCTCTCTATATATATATATATATATATGGAGAGAATATGCAGGAATAATGGAAGCAGTTCAAGATCATGTACAAACTAGGTTGGATCAAGATACTCCAAGATCCAAATTGGTAAGTATCTTACCTGGGTAATCTTGAGCACTGCTGATTAATTAATTAATTTTAGTGAATTTATATCCCACATTTCTCCCAAAGTAAAATAATTCAGAAAATATCATGCTATAATATTAATTTAACAAAAAAGTCACAATATTGTCTTTAAAAAACATAATTGATCCTTTGCTGTAATGCTTTGTTTTGTTTTTGTTTTGTTTTTTAAATAAAAGAGCTGATGCTTGGTACATATGATGTAGGTGGGGGTTGATATCATATTTTAGAAGAACATTTTATATTCTGTGCTGGATCTGACATGGAATTTTAAGAGAACTTTACCATGCTATCTGCCTTGCTCTCCAGGGAATGGTTAGGTTAGAAATTTAAATAGACATTCTCTTTCATACTTCTGTACACCTCCTTGACTTTTTCAGTCTAAATCCAGAATAAATTCTGCCTCGTTTCAAAGAGAATTTGGTTGGGCTTCTAATTAATAGTGGTTTGATTGAAATCAATGATTCGCTCACACTTAATTTATTGAGACAAGGCTCAGGCAGTATAAACCTTCTGGCTATTGTTTTCGTAAATCAACTCTGTTTTAATTTGCATGCATCAATTTTATAAGATGGCAACAGAGAACTTGGCTGGCTCCATGCATTCTCTCACTCCTCTTTTACCATTTTCTCCTTGGGAAAAAGAGATTAGACATGCCAAGGCATGTTAAATGTAAATATACATCTCACACACACACACACATCAAAATATATATGATTTTGTAGCTGCTGCATGCCACTCCTTTGTATCTCTTCCTGGCAGACATCTCAAGCAGCTGTGTTGGCAATTGTGAGAGAATGTATTATATGAAGGCAGTTGATGAGCTTTTAGACTTGCCTCATTATAACCACAGTGCATCTTCTTTGTTATTCACAAGGTCTGAGGACTTCATGAATGAATTCTTACCCAAATCCCTCATGAGATCTTTAGGAGGAAAAGTGGCTTCTTTTTTATTATGCAAATATACACATAAACCAGCCTGCAGTGACTGAATAGCCATTTTAAACATGAAAGGCTTTCAGAAAGCAAATGAAACCTTGTCATGCACACTCCTTACTATCTTGCCAATACAATAGTATCCAAAATCCACAAAAGAGTGATAACTTTGTTGGGAAAACCAAAATGCACAATATACATGTTGCAATGTTTCAAAGCTCCACTGGCTTCTTCATCAGGCAAAAACTGTTAAAATCATAAAGAGAATGGGGAGGTGACTATGTAAGTCACAGTTGTGATTGTTGTCCTCAGTTCAGATAGCATGGAAGGGTATTTATGTAAGCAGGACCCATAAGAGGCCTATGACTAACATGGTTTCTTCCCCCCTCTCTCTTTTCTTTAGAACTACGAGGATCTGTTATAAACCTAGATAGATTACTGTGGCAAATGCTCAGGGGAAATCACTAAAAAAGGGCATTATCCCAGAAATCTTCTGAGACCTTATGAGTGGTCCGGGTGTTCTGGACTTGCTATTAACTGTATCTTTTTTTTCAGAAATTCTTTGAGTTTTTAAATCTCCCTATTTGCTTAATGGTCAAGGGATGAGAAAGATGTCATCCTTGCTACCTACATCACAGGGCTAGTGAGACAGATGTCTGCCTACCAGTCCTACAAAATAGGGATAGTGAGCACTAGTTTGGGAGACTAGTAAAGCCACAGGCTCTGGCCTATAGTTAGAAATAACTATATTATATAGTTATTAGATGAAGCCCCCTCTCTTCTCTGAGTTCTTCCCTGAACAAGATGTTTGAACAAGGCCTGACATCTCTCTCTTCTCTTGATCAACTGGGACTGATGGGAACTAGAGTCCAACAACATCAGGAAGGATGCAATGATTCTCAGCTTCAAACTATCTCTCTGTGGCAAAGCAGACCAGCAAAAAACTCCAGCTTCAGGGTGGTGTGGGGGCATGTGTAAGCATGATGAATGCCCCAATCCCATCATGCCACCCTGCTGACCACACAGTGGGCAGCATCACAGTTTTCTGGAGGTGTGGTGTTTACATGTGCCACACTGCATAAACACCAAAAACCTGCCACCATGGTCGAAAGGGTGTCTTTTTTCCACCCCAAAAACGAGTAGCATTTTGCTGCATCTTTTGGGCTGGAAAAATGCTGGATTGGGGCCACAGCATGCGGTTGCCACAGCCCCGACCTGACGCTTAAAGGGGCAGCATAGAGCTGGACTTTTGGGACTACCTCTTTCACCCCACAGTCCTCTTACTGATAATTCCCTATCTTGTTAGAATTTTTTATTTGTTATATTTGTTGTATTTGATATTACTTCTGAAGTTTTGTTTTTTTCCCTTTTTTTAAGACAGAGCAAAGACTGTCACATGCCATATTTGTGCAAGACATTTTTTGGCTAAAATCTTCCCAAGATCCTTTTAATAATAAAAAAAAACCTGAATATAATAAAGATGTTACCCATTTTAGCCATTTACTGTAAATGGAAGGGAAAAACAAAGGGAGATTATGCATTTTAGGTATTGCCTCAAGCAGTATGCAGAATTACTGTGTGCATTACATTGATGGAAGCTCAACACTTTGTGTCTAAGGTGCTGTTCTTTTCTGTGTTATCATTTTCTGTATTATTTTCTTTATACTGTGCTAAATCTGAATGAAATATCATGAATGTTAATTGGCTTGCTATAGATGAATGCTGCCTTAAAAGGAAGAATTTTCTGACTTGTACATACCTCTCTTGTGCAGATCTGAATACATTTGAGAACATTGGGTTATATGTCTGTGGTGGGAGAAGTGGCCTCTGTAAAGATCTAATTACACATTATATTAATAGCATGATTTGCAATCAACATCAAATCTTTTTTTTTTTAATGAATACCAGGTGTTTTGGGAGGGAATTATAATCAGCACTTCATCATTTGTAGAGGGGTAGTCTACCAAGCTCACAAAAAATTCTATACACACAGATGACAGTTAGCATCAGGAAAACAAATCCCATTG